AGCACACAGCCAGGATAACCAAGGAGTGGCTCCGTAAGAAGCACATCAAGGTTCTGGAGTGGCCTAGCCAGTCTCCAGACCTAAACCCAATAGAAAATCTTTGGAGGGAGCTCAAACTCCGTGTTTCTCAGCGACAGCATAGAAAGCTGGTTGATCTAGAGAAGATCTGTGTGGAGGAATGGGCCAAAATCCCTGCTGCAGTGTGTGCAAACCTGGTGAGAAACTACAGGAAACGTTTCACCTCTGTAATTGCAAACAAAGGCTACTGTACCAAATACTAACATTGATTTTCACAGGGCTTCAAATACTTATTTTCAGCAGTAACATGCAAATAAATTATTTAAAAATCATACATTGGGATTTCCTGATTTTTTTTTTTAGATTATGTGTCTCACAGTGGACATGCACCTAAGATGAAAGTTTCAGACCCCTCCATGATTTCTAAGTGGGAGAACTTGCAAAATCACAGGGGGTTCAAATACTTCTTTTCCCCACTGTGTATATATATATATATATACACACACACACACACACACACATTCATATATATTTTTACTTCTTGTGTGTTTTATTCCCTATTCTTATTTATCTTATTGTTATTGTTTCAGTGTGGAATAGCTACACAACATATTTCACTGCGCGCTATACCGTGTATAACTGTGTTTGTGACCAATAAAAGACCTTGTACCTTGAACCTATCAAACAATATTCAGAAGTATTTCACTTGGAGAGCCAAACAAACACTAATTTAATTCATTCTCAAAATTAATTGGTACTCAGACATAAAGGCTGCCCCATTAAAATACAACAATTGTAGTGCAGTAATAATAATAATAATAACTGATCAGATTTATATAGCGCTTTTCTGGACACTCAAAGACGCTTTATACTGTCAATTATTCATTCACACACATTCATTCCGGTGGTGGTAGCTACGATTGTTGCCACAGCTGCCCTGGGGCAGACTGACAAGAGGCGTGGCTGCCATTCTGCACCTCCGACCACCACCTCAAGCAATCCATTCATACACATTCACACCAGGCAAGGTGGGTGAAGTGTCTTGCCTAAGGACACAAAGACCATGAAACCGGTTACAGGGCGGAATCGAGTCGATCATTGACCGACTCGCTCTACCACCTGAGCCACAGCCGTACCAGTCAAAGTGCTGACTTAAGTACTTGCAACACACAGTTCAATCCCTCATTTCACAGCACCTTGACTTTGGTCAGTCACAATTATTACATAATCATCCGATTGTAGTTATTTGACTTTGAACTGTTAGAATCACTTTCATTCACCCGCACTCAAACAGATGGGTGAAACTAACAGAAAGGTCATGTTTTCAATCACTATTTCCACATAAGTTTCTTCTAAGCATGCACATGCACGTCATTTCAGTATCAGCATTGCGATGTGTGCAATAGTTACATCACAGGAAGTAAGAAGTGAAGTAAGGCTAATTAACTCAAATACAACAATACAAATACAACATTTCACAACTTATTTGCTACTTAACATGAAAACTGTCATAATGACTATTTTTAATGGAGTTTAATGTACTCTGATTTAAGGATTTCTTAACCCACTGAGGTTTTCAATTTTTTGAACACATAACATAAGGCATAAGGTTTGTTGACATGCAGGCTCCACTTGGGCACAGCAAATGAAAGTATAGAAATATTTTTGCTACGAAAGGTACAGGTAATCTGTTGGCAGTGCCAATACAAAAGCTAACACAACTAATTTGTTTAATATTTCAAATTGTCACTACAAATCTCTGCAAAGCCAGATTTGAATGCCATCCAAAGCAAAGATTTCTGGATGCCTTTGTCAGTGTTACACAATATGCGGAGAGTTCTGATCAGATTTTTTTTTAATATTGTTTGTTTACTCTTCATTGCAGAAGGTCTACCCTACAAAACCACTCCAATGACTCTAGAATGATCAATTCTATCCAAATAGTTAATATTGCAACGTCAGTTTTGTTCAATATCTTGCAGCCCGTGGATAAAAAGTCTGGAAAACAAAACTCAAATAAAGTACAAGTGCTTCGGATTTGTACATGAGAAGTACTTTTAAAAGTGTCTAAGTTGTCTGGTGTCTATTGCACAATGCAGACACTGCAGAGCACTCAGTTAACACAAAGCTGTAGGTGTATCTAAATGGTGTTTACTTTGTGCTGCATACACACCTGGCTAGCATGTTAGCACCAATTAGCAGGCAATGAGTTGGCTAGTATTTGTTTGTTTACAATTTACTAACGACATTCAACTTAGCTAAACGTAATCTAAGACACACATCGGTTTCACGCAGAGAAACGCTTACCTTTGTTTCAAAATCGCCAGGTAGAAGAGAGTCTGGTAGGAAGTGCAGCTAACACAGTGGCAGCCATTTTTCCTTCCTTTCGTTTGTCCAGAGACCCCGTGACCGATGACGCTACCTCATGTGGGCCGAACGGCGACAAATCCGACCAATCAGCGACTGAAACGCCACTGACGGACACCCGAAGCAGCCAATCAGCAGCCGAGGACCGTCTCGGCCACGAGGAGCAGTACTGGTGAATATGCTTTGTGAGGACACACCGGGACAAATGTAATCCTGTCAAATGTCCCTGTAAACAGGAAACACTCAAACTCAAGACACCCAAAAAAAAACAACTGCAGAGTCTTTAAAGAAGAACAACAATGTTTTGACTAGTTTTTTTTTTATTATTCAAAAGGAACATACAATAGAAAACACTCAGACAACCTTGGCAGCCAGACTCAAAGAGCTGGGGTTGAAATAAACAAGATATACATGAAGGGACTGCTTTTATTGTTTTTTAAATGATACAAGGGGTCATGGTGCAAACCGTTAATTTGAGAGGACACGAAGGATAAAACAGCGTCCCAAAAATTAAACCCAGACAGAAAAGTGTTGTTTTTTTCCTGACCACACAGAAGTCAAGAGCCTTCTGAAACAGCAGCATCAGCGACATTCAAATCATTTCCAAACACTTTTTATCCAGTGAACTTGATGCTGAAGATGTGAATTTGCTCATTTAAATTATATCAAAAATTGAAGTTTAAATGGTTTGTTTCGTAAAAAGTTAATCTCTCATAGAACATGCTTTGGATGAAATAAACTCCAAATTCTGAAAAGAAAAAAAAAATGTAAAAAGTTGATTTTTTTTTCTTCCCCAGGTTGGTTGAAAGTCATGAGCCTTCCTAAACAGCAATATCCAGTCTTCTTAAATGCATTCACGTACCTCGAAACACTTTTTAATCTAATCAAATGAATGCCAGAGATGTAAATTCATCCATTCAAATGATATCAGGGTTTATTTTGGAAAAAAAAAGTCACGTGAAGATGCTAAGGATGAAACAATAATCCCAAAATGAACTCAAAACTCTGACAGATAATTACACAACTTAGTGTTTTTTCCCTATATTGCCTTCTTAAACAGCAATAAGTTCAATTCAAAACCAGAATCTTCTCAAATATAGTGAAACACATTTTCAATCCCATTAATAGATGTCGGTGATGTGAATTTTTCCTTTAAATGGTACTGCGGTTTGGTGTGCAAAAAGTTAATTCTCCCGAGGACTCCTTGGATGAAATACTATGCCCAAAATGAACTAAAAAAAAAATCAGAAAAGTAGTGTTTTTTTCCAGATTGCTTGAAAGTCATGAGTGTGCTTAAACAGCCTCATTGAAATCAACAGTTTTCTTGAAAGCATTCATTGAAATTCCAAATGCATTTTCAAATCTCAATTAGACACCAGTAGTGGAAATTTGTCCATTTAAATGATACTGGTTTCATGATGCAAACAGTTCACGCCTTTCAAAATACCAAGGATGAAACAGCAGGTCAAAAATGAAATCAAAACTCAAAAATGATGTTCTTTCAGATTGCATGAAAGCTGTGAGCCTTCTTAACAGCAACAGAATTATCTTTAATGTGTTCAAATACATTTTTAATCCCATCAAATGGATGCCTGTGATGTTAATTTATCCGTTTTAATGATGCTGTGGTTTGGTAGGCAAAAAGTGAATTTCTCAGAGGCCACTTTGAAATATCATTCCAAAAATGAACTCAAAATTCAGCTTGAAACTGTGGATCTTTTTTTTCAAATTGCATGAAAGTCAAGAACCTTTTTCAACAGTCATATCACAGTTTTTGATGCCATAAATTGGGCACAAGTTATGTAAATTTGTCTATTTCTGGAGAGCATTAAAAAAAAAAAAGACACACACACAAATTAAGCTTAAATGACAAACTCCGTCAAGTGACCAAATCCTCCAAGTGTGAATCATACACATCTTCTACATCATGAGCTGTAAAGGCCTCTGGAAAATCAATCTAATCATGAGAAGGTATAAAGAACACATCGTCATGTCATACTTTGGTATTAATGATTTTTAAAGGATTTTTAAGAATTATTTTCTTAAATGTGCTTAAATTCACTTGGAGATTCCCTAAATGTCTGACAATGACATTAAAACAATCCTTGGGGTAAAACAACTGTGCTGTTTCCAGTACTGAGTCTGGAAACAGTCTGCAGGATGGCGACTTGATGTGATGGTTAATGACTTACATCTAGATCACAGCGACATGTTTTCAGTTTGTCTTCTGGGGCGGATGTTTACGAAAAACAACAGTAATCAACATGTAACTCAATGAAGCTCTTCACTCTGGACCTCCATCGCTCCAATGTGCACTGAATGATTAGGAATCATAACACATGGAAGGAAACAAGATAAGCGTTATCAGTGAGAAGCAACAACAAAACACAGGAGGACAGCCGAGTGTCCTGCTGAGCAGCAGTGAACAGTCTGAATGCGGAGCTGAATCGTATTGTGCGTCTGAGGATCTAAAATCCTGATCAACGTGTGGTTTAGGAAGTATTATTCAGTCCATTTATGCTTATTAGGCCATGTTTCAACGAACATTTCAGTTATTTTACAAACATTTACACCACTAGCTGCAACACCAGTAAAAGGTCACTTCTGTTCTCATTGCTCCTCATCACTCTGAATCCTCGTCCTCCTCGTCAGGTATAAACGGTGGGTCGTTGGGCGTCTGTTCCGTCCCTCCACCCTTCTTTGCCTTGAGATGCAGCTCTCTGACAGTGAGGATGCGGATCAGCATGGCTTCCATGGTGCTGTCGTCCAGTGGCGTGGACGAGAACCACAGCGGGCTGTTGGGGACGCAGCAGCGCTCCGGGTGAAGGTAGAACATGTTGGTGCGCTGCTTCACCGACTCCGAGCTGGATGGAAGACGGCCGAAAACATGATGAACAAGGAATCAGACCAGTGTGCAGCACTCATATGCACAGGTCCATTTAAAAAGCAACTTTATACAGCAAGCAACAAAACAGAGCTAGAGCAAAACATAAATAAGACGTCACACATCAGAAAAACACTGAAGGATACCATTGAAACATGAGACACGAGACGAGGCAGGCTGCTTAGCAGCAACTGAAGTTTAAAATAAAATACTTATATAGAGCACCCTTAGTGATGACACCTATACAATAAGTATAGGCCCATTAAGTTGTGGCTGACAACTGTCATCTCCTATTCAGTGAGTACACATTGCTCTCATCTAGCCACAGATACAGTATGTCTGGGTGCAGGACCAATCTGCTACCATTGTCCTTTATTATTATTTGAATTTGTGTCTATTGTGCAGTTTAGCGTGTATGTGGTGATTATGTAATACTACTTTGTTTACTACTGGCCATAGAGTGAATCATCCCTCAGGATAATAAACTTTATTTCCCGGCCTAAGATTCTTCACGATATAAACTTATCAGACAACCCACCCCTGTTTAAAGATGGACCATGAGCGTGGCTGTGTTTGTACTGCTGCTACTACTCACCACTTGGAGAGGTAGAACTCATAGAGTCTGACCGGACAGCGAAGAGGGTTCTCCGTGTTCTCTATCATCTCCAAGATGTCCTCTTTACTTTCCTCCTCCTTACGCCTCTTTGCTTGAATAGCTTCCAAATCTAACGAGGACACAAACAGCACTTTTAACATGAACCTATGTGACCGGAAACTGTTAAAGACACAGAACGGCTGGTAAAGAAATACACTCGTCATGGACACGACATGTGGAAGAACACTTCGATACAGATTTAAAAACACAGATTATCCGTCTTGTGTGGCTTCTGTCTGGTCATGCATCACTTCAAATGTTTAATAAACTTTCCGTAGATTACAGATGTTAATACAACAAGTAAACAGACTGAAGAAATACTTTGTGGTAAAGTCACAAGCGTCAGAAGTATGTTCTTGAGATGTTTATTGTAGGGGTTTAGCTACCTGTGGGGCACCATGACAAAGACATCTGTGATGCTTAATGGCCTCAACCATTTACTTAATGAAATAATCAGTTAAAGATTAATGACACTGTTGAACACTGATTGATAAAATTATCTAAATGTGCAACACGTGTAACAGTGGACATAACAGATTGGACTTAGGTTCATGTTAATACCAATCAGTTAAAATCGTCTTATCAGCTCCAATCCTAATTTTTAAGATCAAAACAGGACATCCCTACTCAAAACCAATGTTGTTGCCCAGTGTTTGGTATTTAAATTAGACCTTTAGCCACGTTGATACCTGACTCAGCCTCGTTTAGAGATATGGGCGGATAGAAGCGCAGGAAGGTGGTCTTGGTGTTGTTCGGATTGGTTTTGGTGCAGCGCATGACGTGTGCAAAGGATAGCTGGCGATGCTGCTCCACTGTAGTAAAGCCAAAGTATTTGCAGCAGAAGAAGAGCAGGGTGTTGAGGAGGACGATGGGGGAATAAGCTCCCAGCTGTTTACAGTCCCACAGAAACTCCTCCTCCACACGAGAGTGGATGTAACCTGCAGAAGATGTGGGAGTCAGTATGTTTGTGTTAAACAGAACCCGACAAACTAAAAAGAGTGACTGATAACTCACCACCGTCCGTGATCGAAGGTTTGAAACCTCTTAGCATGTCGGTGAACTCGTTGGAGAATTTGCTGTAGAAGCGATCCATGAATATGTTCTCCACACGACCGTTCTCAAACAGATACTACAGAGACAAAACGGTGGAAGCATCACAATGAGTCATGAGAATGGTTTTCAGTAATTTCACCGTCATAAGTATGCCAGCGCTCTGCTGTCTTTGCTGAACTCCAGTAGTGTTTCAAAGCACAAACAGCGTTTTATTGTAAAAATCACTGCCTTTATCAAATGTTAGAAACTGGGTATTAATGTTGTGTTGAGCTGTGAGGCAGTGAGGCTGAAACTGGATTCAGCTGTTGAATAGCTTCTCAAAGTGCCGCATTGTACTTTTCTCTCTTTTATCTTTTTATGTGCTACTCTTTTTGCACATATGTACAACTAAATGAAACATCATCCATGTCTGTTTGGCCCTATTCTGCTGTTTTAACCCTTTAAATCCTAAAACCAAGCCCTGGAGTGAAAGAAATGTTATCTTTGAAAAATTAAATGAAATTTTTTTTAAAAATTGGTTCAGGAAAATTCACCAAACCTAAACTAAAATGGCATTATTCAATCGCATTTAATAAAAAAAATCCCTTTATTGAACATGTCACTTTAAAAACAAAACAAAACAATATATATATACTGCTGGCTTCAGAAAAGAAAAAGGAAAAATTCCTGTACAACTAAGAAGCTGAAACCAAAAGTTAGAAAAAATTATTTCAGGGACCGCCTGAACTGTGTTTCCACAGACCATAGAGGAGACAAGGAACAAATTACAGAGACTGAGAGGGGAAAAAAAACTTACTTGACCAATAAAATAAAAGCTGCATGACTAAAAAAATGGTACGCAAAGGAGCAAATAGTTGGACGATACATTGGGCATGGTGAAACATCTTTCTAGAGTTGATGCATAATGTAGTCGGACACACAGTGAGTTTGTAGAAGTTAAAAAATCTCATCAGTTCAGGTAGAGCCACCATTTTTTCCAGTAACAGTAAAAACAGTAGGCTCGTGGAAAATGTTAATTCAATTTTTCTCCAAATTTTTACTTTTGTTAAAATGATTTATGTCATTATAATTGCGTCATACTGTCCAGAAGACATTTTTTGTTCTCTCTCCTTCTAGTCACAGTTGCGCTGTTTCCATGGAGGTGCAGGACTTCATATTGCAGTGAAAAATTAGTTTTACATGTTCAGGACAACTATAAACACATCTGATGTCTGAAGGACTAACTCTAACATACCATAACTTAGCCCTGACACTGTGTGCTGGCTGTGCACTTCAGTGTACACATGTTTATACAGCTCAGCAGACTCTACCTGTCAATGTATATGTTAAGCTCATGTGTCTTGCCTGTTGGATGCCGAGGCAGAGGTAGAACAGACTGTCGGAGGAGTAGGGCTCTCCGTTTGGTCGCTTCACCTCGGTGATGAAGCAACAGAGGCCGTAGCTGAGCTCAGCGGTGGTGCAGCGAAGGACGTCCTCCTTCAACTCCAGAGGACGAGCTGAGATGAAGATAGAAGAAATAGTCAGGGTTTACATTTTTGTCCTTGTTACACATGGAAAATGTACGTAAACAGAGCAGGGGAATGAAAGTGGTCATTGGTTGTTTTGAAAAGTATCCAGCATACGATCAGCTGTAGTGGTTGTATGTAGTCCACATCTTGACTTACAGCCGAAACGTGGCTTTTCCAGGTTGGGCTGAGTTTGCCTCCACTGGATCCATCTCTTCCAAGCGTCGACTCCGTACTGACTCTTCAGTCTGGGGATCTCTGCAGCCACAGATTTCTTCGATGAGGCTTTTTGAGAAGTCGATTCAGCGGCTTTGGACGACCGCTGAGGCTTACGACCCTTTGATAGAACAAAAAGAGAGGAGGCTGCGTCATGAGAATCATCAGGACACAATGATAACAAGCTGCTCACTTGTGCTGCAGAACAACTACAGTTACCCTCTTTTCTCTGGCTTTTCTGTGAACTTGTCGTCTTCGCGTATTAACAGGAGGAGGAGGAGGAGGGGGAGGTTTGCGGGACTGCTCTCTGAGCCGGGCCATCTTCTCCAGGGTTTCTGCCAACGACACAACATAAAGCATCCGATAAAGAAGCTCAAGCAACATTTAAGAGAATCTTTTTATCATCATGCAGCACTGTAGCCTCCAACTACAAGGGTAAGCATTGACTAAGGGGGAGATAAAGTCAAGCAACCCCTGAGCGCTGATTAGTTTTTATCTTCTCACCGACAGTGAAGTCCGACTCGATGTCCATGGCAGGTGGTCCTGCAGGTTTGGGCTCAGGGGGAGGCTCACTGGGCATGCTCACAGGTACGTCTAAAGTGGAGTTGAGCCTCTCGGCTGTGTACGGTCGACCAGGTAACTTGAGGCCTGCGTCAGAGGAGGCGTCCTCCCAGTTGTTTAGGAAACTGGCCAAATCGTCTGTATCCAAGTCGTCACTGTAGTTACTGACGTGGTCTGGAAAAGAGAGGAACAGTTTATTCAGCATTACTGCCCTTTTACACAATGCATACTGTAGAAAAGCTGTGGATGTTGTGGGCAAAATCCAACCTGTTGATGCTGCCATGTGTTTAAAACCTGACCAACATTAACTGTCCCACAGTTATAATAATAATCCTCACATGGTCTTTGAGTGATGAAAAATACCCAGCTCCAAAGAAGCCATCTAAGATCTCTATTCCATCCATTATCTATACACCGCTTAATCCTCATTAGGGTCGTGGGGGGCTGGAGTCTATCCCAGCTGACTTAGGGCGAAGGCAGGGGACACCCTGGACAGGTAACCAGTCTATCACAGGGCTACACTTAGAGACAGACAACCAAGCACACTCACATTCACACCTACGGACAATTTAGAATCACCAATTGACCTCAACATGTTTCTGGACTGTGGGAGGAAGCCGGAGAACCCGGAGAGAACCCACGCTGCACAGGGAGAACATGGAGACCCCACGCAGAAAGATCCCAGTGCCCCCACCAGGACGCGAACCGGCGACCTTCTTGCTGCGAGGCAACAGTGCTAACCAACTGCCCCACCTTGCAGCCCCATCTAAGATCATGTGACTTAAAAATAAAACTATGGAAAATATGGATAATAAAGCATCATCTAAACTATTTATTACCAACAATAATTTGATCATAAATCACGACAAACACGGTGAACATTAGCATTCTGTTGCTTCATCCAAACATGTACACAAACTAGGACTGCAACTGCTGTCTTTCTATTGATTAATCTAGTGACTATTTTACACGATTTAATGAATTACTGAATGATACAGTTTTAATATGTATGAGAAATGTAAGTTTATTTTGACAAACTATATGTCACATAGCATACGGCTACACGTAGCAGCAAAGTTTTAGAATATGTGAGTATTGCAAATAGGTTGCAAAAAAGAACATTTTTATAATAATCTGGAGCACTTTAGAAAAATAACTTAAAATTATGTGTTGCTTTTAAATATTCTTTTTCACCATCACTTATTACGTCAATCGTTTGTAGTAGCTCTTCTACAAATTAAAATATACAGTTTTTTCCCTCCATTCTTTCACCCTCAGTTTTGCTCAGTAATATTTTGCATCTGCAGTCTAATTCTTCAATGATTGTTTGCTGAAACCATTTCTTTCTTGTGTTTACTGCTTTTAAAACGTCCAGTTCAAAGTTTCTTCTCACCATCTGGTGCAGGAGCTTCTTGTCGCTCCGATTCTTTCTCCACCACTTTTTCCGTTGTCGTCTCCTGCTTGTCGTTCTTCTCGTCCTGCTCCGCCACCATCTCGGCCATGAGGATGAGTTCTGCCTCGTACGGGTCAGACGGGATCTTCTGTTTGATCTCCTGGATGGTTTCCACGATGCGCTCAGCGCTGTCCATCGTCACGGGAAGAAACATCGGCACCGGCAGCTGTGGAACAGAGACAGAGAAACAGTAGATTCTTAATAAGACGCTAAAGACTGTTTGACTTCTTACCAAACTTTCAGCTTTGACACACAAATACTTCTTTATGTCTGTTAGTGGCAGTATTTTGAATGTGATTAAAAGACCACTGGTGAAGGATAAATGACTGATGGTTCTCAAAAAGCTTGTTTATTGCTTTTGCCAAATTCAAAACAGAGTACCGTGTGTTGACCATTAAAGTTCAGATAAATCTTGATCTGATTTCACTTTATTGCATCAGGCTACAGCTCAACAAGACAATGTTTTTTTGTTTTTTTTTTAAATGACGGAAGTAAAAGCGACAGTAATTATCCCCATTGTCCAGGCTCAGAGGTGTTGGTGTTGGACTCACAGGTAACGGCAGACCCACAGGTTTGGGGGCACACTGGCTGTACATGTTCATGGGAACAGGAACGTACACCGGCACTGGAACTGGCAGCACCATGATTTTTGGATAAGCTTCGTCTGTCGAGAGAACAGTGTGACTCTTTTAACATGAGCTAGTTATATAAGAACACAGTAAGTACATGCTGCAGCTATATATGTGAATATGGAACACATATTTTTTTAAAGCTCACTCATAAATACGTTGATATGGATGCGACTGATGGTTAAAAACTTCAGGAGAAAAACTGTGTAATAGTGTCAAGTTCTAAACGTCTGCTTAAGCTTTATGAGCTTGTTTTCTAAAATTAGTCTTCATATGTATTAACAATTAAACCCCAGAGCCTCTTCACATATATCCAAAGACAAAACATAATTGAGCAGCTGCAAAACACCACATTGTAGATCTAAATTTGGTTTTCTCCATAAAAAGCTGTCAACACAAGAACACAACAAAAAACAAATTATTTACAGATACAAAATCTTTTACGAGAAAGGTCAAGGGCTGGCTGAAAGCAACCTGCAGGTGTTCTGTTATTAGCAGTTCATTGTACTTTCATCTCGATGGTGTATTTACGATTTATGAAAATCAAACCTGTAGATTTTAATTGTACTGAGTAGAAATACCTCAACTTGGGACAAGAGTTGAATCATCAGCTGTAAACTCAATGCATCACATCAAATTCAAACTCTGAAACGATGTTAAGCTGCGCAATGCCTCACAAATAAAATGTAATTCTAACTCAAAAGAAAAGACTAGCTACAAAAACACACATCGGGCCCAACACTTGACAAATTCCTGTCCACTTCCCGCTGAGAACAAAATAACAAACATTACAAAGAAGTGACTCCTTGCAGAAGCAAAATAGGTTCAAATTATTTGTTTTTCTTGTTTGCAAAACAAATAAACATCCTAGAATGCAAACTGCAAGTTAATTAGCAAGGAAATTATTACCAAACATGAAAAACAAAAACAGAAAGCTTTGTTGTATCCATGCAGTTTCACACTCAGTAAAGCAGGGATGTTGCTGCTGTAGAAGCAAAGTGTTGGTGTGACGTTTTCACCTGTTTGTGCCTCAACATCAGCCGTCTGTGTTTTGCAGGAAACTCCTTTGTTCTGCACCAGCGGCCTGCAGAGAAGAGCCTTGTTCTTCAGGATTTTGGGGGCAGGAGGAGGGTGAACCTTCGCTGTTTCTGTCTGAAGGGTGATCTGAAGGGCAGATGAATGAGAACAAAACTGTTGGTCATCTTAAAAACCCATAATGGACTACAAATTAGCTAAGTCCTGAAACTGTCCGTCACTAAAGGTATGTCTCCTCGGAAAGCAAACACTCAAAGCAAAACACATTTTCAATTCTTTATTATGACGGATTTGATTATCTAAAATACTCCATTGCAACCTAAATATTTTGAGTCTTGTTAAGTCACACAGTAAATTTCAGCAAAAATCTGACCATCTTGTCAAAAGTTGCACATAAACAACAAATAAACCTGCATTGTTTTGATGCCTAACTGTATCATAGAGCGTATCTGTGGGTAAACATCAACATTCGTTATGTTTATGCAAGTTTTTTTCTTGTGAAACTGAATTTAACTGCATATAAAACCCGCAAACAAACACCAGCTCACCTGTGCAGAGCTCCTCAACTCGTAGTTGGACGCTGTGCCTGCAGAGACAACAGCAAAACGTGAGACTTTCACAGTAAAACAAAGTGCCGAATAAGGACAGAGCATGCTGTTCTCTCTTATTTGTCTGTCTTGGCTTTGTACTTTGCTGGGCTGTTCTGTCGGACGCGTTAGATTTCCCCGTCGGAGGGCCTGCTAGCGAGATGACGTTGGCGATAACAGGTGTGGGCTCCCCTGTACCGCCTGAAACCAAACCACAAAGAAACACAATCAATCGTCTCAGAGTGGGAAGTTACTCAGAGCTTTCCAGAAACTCTCAGGAAACCGCTGCTGGCTGTGTAAAGATGATCAGAGGGACACATTTTTGGTCGACTTCATACCAACATCTCTGCTAGTTTTTAACATATGCTCTGGAGGCGTCCTGCATTTAAACTCACCGAGGAACACCATCATTTTGCACTTCATTTATTCATGTGCAACATCTATTAGTAATGTTACTCAGACGAGATCTGCTGTGCAACACCCAAAAAATACTTTACATCACACACACTCTTTCACACCCACATTCAATTAATAATAAAGCTTAAAATCATAATAAAAGCATCAGTGCTTTATAAAATACTGCACATAATGTCCATAGTCACTGCACCATAAGGACTACGATGACTGCATTTATAACAGACTGACATGATGCAGCAGGAAGGAGGGCTGTTTGATAGAGTTCATTCTACTGTGTAAACCATATTTCATGTTGTATTGCAGATGACAATCTGGTGCAGTGTTATAGTTGTGTTACATACAGTAACTCCTCTCTGCAGTTTCATATTTAGTGTTTTACTGAATGTAATGTGGGTCTGCATTTTCTTTTTTGCTTATTCTTTGCAATAAGAGAAGTAGCGACCCTAAGTTTTCAACAATTTCCCTGAGGTTTGCCTCAAAGGGATCAATAAAGTTCTATTCAATTCTATTTTTTGTCAGCAGAGCTTAAAAAGACAATAAAGCTTTTTTGATTCAGACGATGCTAATGGTGGTCAGCGCCTCCATTTAGTTAAGAAATCAAACTTAGAACACCTTGATGCCCTGTTTATAAATGTGGAGACCAACTGATTGCAAAACAGACATTTTTTTTTGAGATGAACAAATGTAATCGAAACAACCGTACACACCTTTTGTGATTTCTCCCTGAGTTGCCGCTTTATTGCAGCAGAACTGCAGCAGACAGCTCAGGTCACAGAAGTGTTTGACTTCTCCGAGCAAAGGGAGACTCTGCTTTAGTTTCCCTTTACGGCCGCAGGTGTCACACTTTGCCACCTGAGAGAACACAACGAGTCAGAGTTTAGCTGAAGACGACTGTGACAATCTCATAGCTGTGATTTTAATACCTGCATCAATGCTTGCTTACATGGCAGAAGAGCATGGTGTACTTGGACCTGCACTCCTCGGAGCAGAACTCCTCCGTCGAGCCTCCGTACTGAGCAGTCACCAGCTTCTTGGAGACGCAGTGGCAGTAAACGCAGGAGTGACAGTATTTCCCCCAGTTTTTACTCAAGTCGTGTCTGAAGAGGAGTTTGCAGCCTGAAAAGAGGAGTGTCGGGATCAGGAAGCTTTTTTCTCTATATCTGTGCTTTGAAACGCACATTCATATGCAAATCAGTAAACACTTGAGTCGGTTTGTGTCAATTCAGACAGTGGTGTTGCTCCATCGTCTCAGATTTTATTCATTTTCAAGCCACTTCAGTGTCTCTGTTCGTCATGATAGCAACATCATAGTTTGTGTTGTGTTCTCCTCCTCATAATAGTTGGAGTATTTGGGTGATCAAGCATATGTCAAACTGAGGCCACTTGTTGGAACATTTAGCACTTTTTCCATTTTCAAATGCCAGTATTTAAAGATTTGGCCTCTGCTGGAGCCATTCAATCATTCAAAACGCACCTTACCTACTGTACGCCATGACCTTCCTGCTGCTAATGTGTATATACTGTTGTATTTATTAGATTTTATTTATATGTGTACATATATATATATACACATTTACCAACAATGCGCACTACGACTCACGCTGCTACTGTAGGAGATTGCCAATGGAATTTCATTGTATTCTCATGTACACTGATACTAAAGGCATCTACAATCTTTGATTCAGATCTGCGGGAAACATTTTTTCTGTTTTCTCACTAAATTTCATGGCAGTAGGAGTTACATTTCTGGAGATATTGACCCTTTAAATTGGCTTTTTGAGGGTGAAAATAAGAAACTTGCCAGGTCCAAAAACATATCTCAAGAATCTCATTTAGGGTCACAAATAACAAATAAGCAAACTCTAAACAAAATCTGAGAAGGTGCGCCAACATACTTCCTGAATCTTGTCTGATTTGACACAGCCTGACCCATTTACATGCTTCAATTCAGGACGTTTCAGCTGCTTTTGTCTGCATTAAACGTACCGTCGCTGCAGAAGTAACAGTCTTTGTTGTTGATTCTCTTCACGTCTCTGGTGATCTTTTCGATCTTGCAGTACTCACACAGGCTCGCCACGTAATTGGCCTTCTTGAACTCGTGCGAACAGTCCACAGAGCACAGAAAAACCATCTTGTCCTGCACAGAGTCGATACGAACGATTAGAAAGGTCAGTCTGCACACACAGTCGTCTAGTTTTTAGCAATTTTCTGCTGTAACGTTTTAGTGTCGCCCTGTTTATTAGGTATAAAAAAACAAACCCAAAAAAACTTTAGACTCTTAACTTCATGACGGTCTTAACTGTTATTATTTATATTGATTAGAGTCAATAGAACTAAACTAAACAACATCTCTCTGCACAGTGTAACACACATAATACAATTCCTAAGTGACAATAACAAAAAAACTGCTGTATGTGGGTTTCACATTTTAAGACAAATCAGGTCTTCTCATTGCATTCTTATGAAATCTTGTGACCTTTATTGGAACCGGTGTCTCCAGTGAAGGTAAAAATCCTCTTATTTCAGCACCACACTGAGGTACCTTAATCTGGATGAGTTCCGGTTTGAAGGTGATGATGCGGCTACACTGGAAGCAGTTCAGCCTGTGCGATCCTTTGACCTCGATCTGTGGTTGTGGGGGAGTGACGGCCTGGATTTGGGTCGATCCTATCGGCAGCTTTGTGAAAACGTTCACCTGTTTCTGGGACTTTTTGAACTTTTCCTGTGGCACAGATTTAAAAAAAAAAAACAAAACAAAAAAAACATGATTATAAACCACTGCGAGAAAGGTGCAGCTTCTAGTAGCGGTAAACAATGAGTGCGGCATCAAGACAGCCGATGGTAAATGCGCATTTCCCAAAAAGGATCATCACTCTGGTGGTTTGATTTAAGCTGGAAAAATAGAGCAACGGTGTGAAATGTGACCGTTGCATTAACTGATGGTTCAGGAAATATTTAAATCAAGGCAGACTGATGTAAAAATACAAGAACAATTATTTCCATATGAATAATCAGAGGTCATGATAGCAGAGATGCAATAAGTGACATTAAATTTACAAAACCAGCTTTAAATACAACCCAAAACTCCAGGATGTTGTATTATATGAAACGATGGCTACCTGAAAAGACATGACACACGGCAGAGTGCAGAAGTTCCTGATGGACGTATCCGACATGGCCAGGTGATATGCCGGCACAGTGTTTTTTCCGCAGTTATCACAATTCAACCGAGCACCTGTTAAAAACAAGGATGTTTTATGAGAGGGAAAACAAACGCCATACAGAGTTCAACGCCTTGAGAATCTTGCCCTCCGATACCTGAAGCACTGACAGTCTGGACTTTAAACGCCATCACACAGCTGCTGCTACAGAAGAGGTTCACCGAGTCGTCGCTGTTTTTGTTGTCCACCATCTCAGCGAGCAACCGGGTGGTGCGGCACATGGTACACGGCTGGGGGATCTTGGTTTTCTGTAGAAAAGAAATAAAGGAGAACGAATAAGAGGCGTGGCGTAAAAAATATGTCTTTCTTTATACAGTTTGAGTTGAGACTAAAAAGGAGCAGCCGGGAAATTTTTTTTCTTCTTTTTAATATTTCCACATTTTGCTTTGCTGTCAGGCTGAATGATTAAAAGATCTCAGTAACTCTGACAAAAAACCTGACTTTAAGATAAACCTGAGGGGCAATTTACAATTACAGCTGGACTGTTGACATTAAAAATACATTTACAACAATATTTTAATGAGACAAATGTTTTGGTGGGGTTTTTTTTGCACCTTTCTTTCCTAAAAGGTTTTATTGATAAAGACAAATGTTTTTCATCTGCATCACGACACCATGCTGCGTCTATTTCCATTTAACTATTCCTGTTACTAAATCAGCTGCAATTAGCTCAACAGTTCTAGAAAACGGCAGCAGAGTCCGTCTCACTACAGCGTAAACGTTTCCAAACACTCACGAATTCAAAAGTTTGAAATGTACTTCAAATTGCTGTTTGTGCAAAGTTCTGATGGCAGAACACAGCAATGTGGCGCGATTAAGGAGGCTGTATCTGAAAGATGCTCCTCTAGAAAAGACAAAACCAGCAGATTTTTGCTGGACAAAGTGGGATGCTTAATTTGCAGCCTGTTGTTGTGCAAACAGATTTCAACACAAACGCGTCTTCAGTGTTGTTTGTTCACTACGAGGGAGAGTTTTTTCTGATCCTTAGTCCTTGTAGCTTTTAAATACACTCATATAGCTCAAAAATTAAAGGTAAAATGAACTTAATGATTGGCAATAAGTTTTTTGGGGGGAGGAAAATTGATCATTTAGATTAAAATAGTCGATAGAATAATCAATACAGAAATAGTCGTAACTGGAATCACTGCTTACAACAAATGCATCCGCCTTCATCTGCAGAATCACTGCATCAGGCTGCAGAAAGAGTTTTAATTAGCTGACATATCTGAAGGGCAAAACAACGAAAGAAACCACACGTAGAAGTCAAAACAAAAAGCCAAGCTCTGCAGTCACGACCTGCTGGCAACAACGTCAGCAATCCAGGTCGCTAACAAGTCAGCAGTCGCTCTGTCTAGTCGTTTACATTAGTCAGTCGTGTAGTTGAAACCTTCCAAGTCGCATTTGTTTTATTTTGTAATATTAAATAGCATTTTGAAGTCTATATATCTGCCAGTACTGGTGCATAACAGCCAATATATGTAGCAGAACATGTGGCATAAATGTTCGACCACAATGGCACCGCAGTTAAAACTAATTTACAGCTTTGAAGCATAAGAATGTTGAAGTGAAAACAGCCCTTCAAAGTAAAAGATTCATGGTGGAGTTTTGTGTTACTCGACAAATCCAGATGTTTCTTTCCTGAAGCTCTAACAAACCAGTTGGATGCATTACCCGACTCATACATGGTTTTAACGACAACATTTAAACAAACTCAGATTCTAACTTTATAACCTGCGTACCTCTTTGTATTTGGCCAAGCACTCAGTGTTGCACACGGTTTTGTTGACCTCCTCCATCTTGAGCAGCAGCGGTTTGCTGTGGCAGTACGATCCGCAGTTACCGCAGCCGGCCATCGACAGGTTGTTGACGGTTCGGAAGCGGTTAAAGCAGGCGTCGCTGCAGATCTTGTGGACGGCGCCGCTCAGGATCACCTCATGTTTGCTCTGCAGGGAGACGACAGAAAGGCAGCGCAGGTTTGAGAGTCACTTCACTTAGAAAAAATGTAGTTTACAGAGAGCTAAAGGTTGTGTGTGCTAATTTTGTACCGTTTTATAATGTACAAACATTTGTAAAGGTCAGTCCTAATTTAAATAAACAGGATCAAGAAAAAAATGAATAAAATATAGTTAAAAATATAAATGTCAATGACTATGACAGAATTAGATTTCTGTTTTTAGAGCTGCAATTATTAGTTGGCACCTGTTGAATTTTGATAATTCTTTAATCAATTAAGCTATTTTTTATTTTTTTTGAAGTCAAAAGTCTCTAAGTTCAAGGGTTTTAAAATTTCATATTTTCTGATTTCTTTATTTCTCTTAGAATATATACAGTATATATACATATTTTGTTAGCAGCCTAATGAATCCACAGTGTTCAGAAATGTCTCATGTACCTCGATGATCTTGTGTCTGTTGAAACTGTCACGGCACACAAGAGGAAATAAAATGTTTTGTTTGTGCTTGAGTTTTAACTTTTAGCTGTTGTCAAAGCCATCATGCGGTTTTAAATAGAGAAATAATACCACAAAAAAATCTGAATAACCTCTAAAAATGTGAATTAAAAAGCATAAATCATATCATTCGTGATTTCACATCATTATATAAATGAAGAAATAAATATAAACATATTGTTTTGGGGGGAAAACCGCAGGTCAGACCTCTGGTTGGCCATAAAATCAGATGAATACAACAGAGAACTTGACATTTTTCATGTTGGGCTTTTGAAAACACAGATTTTCTGATATTTAGAAACCAAACGACTAATTCATTAATCAAGAAAATAACAGATTAATTGACATGTGATGCACTTGTCCCTATCTGTTTCACAGCTGGAACAACAAACCTATAAACTGATCAGTTGATATAGAGAAAATAACACCTGAAACTAGTTTAATAATCAATAAATCATCTGTATTTTTTAGCCAAAAAGACAAACAATCCTTTATCCAGCTTTTCTATGAGAATTTTCTGCTGTTTTTTGGCCTTTTGTGGTCAGATACAACAACACATTTAAAGAAATTACCCTCAACTTTGTGAAACTATAACGGTAAAATGGAGGTAAAACTATTTAAGATTTAATCAACAACAAATAATCACAGTGTATGTCCTGTTTGACTCACTACACAGTATCTGGTGCACATGCTGCAGAGAGACGGTGGCGCTATCGGCGGCGGCGCTTTAATGGAGACGGCGGACTTTCTGTAGTTGCAGGCGCTTTTCTTGTAGTTGAAGGAAGTCAGACAGTTCTGGCTGCAGAAATCCTTCATGGCTCCTTTAGCATCTGGAGCCAGAATGACATCCTGAGGCCGAAAAATCAACCTGAGAGGAGAAAAGGTCGAAAAGAGGCACAAATTCAGTCACACTGGGCCCGATACACCATCAGGCGCGTCGTCAGCTGCTCTGCTTGTTCCTCACACATTAAATTAAAGCCTAACTGGCCGTGGAGCTCACTTTTGGCAGTTGTGGCAGATCTTGGTGGGTCCTTTGATAGCAGGAAGCGATGTGGTGAGGCAGTTGGTGGAGCAGAACAGCGCCGGAGAGCCTTTCCTCTGGAACGCCGTCTGTCCTTTGATCAGGTTCTTCTTGCAGTGGGAGCAGGACATGTGCAGAGACGACGGGTTGATGACGGGCAGCGACTGAGCTTCAGACGTTACAGAGAAGACGGAACCGATCCTCAAGTCCTCCTGTCAACAAGAAAACAGCAGGAGAATACAACAGGTGATGGTCTGGATCTAATCTGGGCTACAAAGCTGGACAGAAGATTCTCTTTTTGAATGGAGAGAAATAGTTATTAACTCATCAACCTGCCGGCTGGTTGTAAAGACATCTTAAAAAGAAACTTCTCTGAATGTGGAAAATAACAATATTGCAAAGGAGTTTTTCAATATGTAGGAAGGAGGACATTGATATTAGTAGGAAATATGGATATTTAAAATCACTGATTTTACTGCGAAACTCATTTTTTTTCTGCAACTACATTCAAGTAAAGAAGAAGAAGTTAACACAGAGTTTAAATACCGTAAATTCTGGACTATAAGCCGCTACTTTCTTCACACGCTTTGAACACTGCGGCTAATTTATGGATTTTATGAGCTTTACGAATTTGTCTCGAGACCAAAGTGACGCTGAGAGCGACAACGACAGAGAGACTGAGGAAGTGACGAAGTGATTCTGAGGCTGTTCAGCTCCTGAAGACACTAAAGAAGACGACTTTAGTGGTTTTAGTGCAGGAGGAAGATGAAGATAGCGATCAATGACTTTTCCTGGTAGGCTGCTGGAGTTTTTATTTTCTTAACCAGCTGTGTTACAGGAACTGTTTGGAAAAAAGCATTTATATTTATATTTGTGTATGTTAGCGGTACGTATTTAATTAAAAGTTAAAAACATCTTTCTGTGTAAATATCTCATGTTGCAACGTGGACACTTGCAGCTTATAGACAAGTGCGGCCTGTATATGTACAAAATGTGTTTTCTTTTTAAAGTTAGTGGGTGTGGCTTATATTCAGGTGTCTCAATAGTCCAGAAATTAAGGTAGTTTATCTGCTTCCTGGGAATTTCTTTTCTAGGATCAGTTAAGTTTTATGTTCACCTATAATATTAAAATCTTAATTTACTTGTTGATTATATTTTGTGGATTAAACTAAATCTTTAAAGTCATTAAAGTCATCAGACAAATGCAGAAAAAGCAAATGTTGGTCCATCACTGCTCAGACTTCCTGTAATATTGTACATTAGTGTCATTTCCGAGCGTGACGCACCTTTGAAGGCTCGTCTTTCACGCTCGCCGTGGACGTCGAGGATATCAGCGCCTGCTCGTACTCCTCGTCCACCGGCTCGTCCTTCACTTTGACCAGAGGCGGCGATGAGGACGACTTGGTCATCTGGACTGCAGAGCGCAACCTCTGCTGCAGGAAGAAAACAAGAAAAATGTTTAACTTTAACTGGTGGAGTAGTCGTCTCTGAGCCAACACAGCCACATGAAACCCACACATGTAGTTAAAGGATAATGCTGGTATTTATAAACCTGGGCAGAACTTTCAGGTAATATTGGGTGTAAATGATTAAGAGGGACAAAAGTGTTTGGAATTTGTTCAATATTAAGCAAGAACACTTTTACCGACAACTGTGAAGCTGCTGCGATATAATCCCAAAGTTCAAGTGGTTTCTTTGGCTTATAACAGATTGTTTATACACGTGTCTGACAGCAACATGGAAAGGATTCAAACGGAGACAGATGTGTGTTGGTTGAGCTGTTGCAGGAAGACAACAGTGTAAAAGTGAGAGGAAGCTTCCCTTACTGCTGCTGTGTGTATAGGATTATTTTAAAAACAATAAATGGTTTGCTAAAGTGCATTTATGAAACGTAGCAACAAAATGATGGACCACACTACGTAAAACTTGTGCCGATGACCTTTGGGGGGCAGAATACAGTTGCCTTGTTTCCATAACATATTTTTGTGCACATGTTCAAATTACTGCATTAGAAAAAGTCAATGAAAGCAGCAAAATTTGGGTAAAACTTCCCTTATTACGCACTAAAGATTTTAAACTCACACTCGAGGTGATTTTTTGACAAACAGCTGATGTGCTAAATAGCACATGGGAACACCTTTTTCAAATATGTTTTGTCGTCTGCATGACACATGGCAAAAAACCAGCTGACATTACAGAATTATTTACAATTTTCCCAAATGAAAAACAACTCCAGAAGACTTCTTTTTCCATTTTGCTCCCATAAAGTTCTGTTCGTTTTTTCTTCTATGAGTTTTTTTTATCAGTTAGAAAACACAGTTAATAGAAACGAACTTTTTTTGCATCTTGTGTTTTGTATTTTGTGCAAAATTTCAAAAGCTTGCATCAAATTTGCTTTACAATTATATGGAAACACAGCTGCTAAAGTCGTGTGCTACACATGGATTGAAACACTCCATCTAACATTTACAATGACTATCTTTAACAGGTTTACTGTCAACACACAAAAGCACTTTTTGCTCAAGAAAAAATCCGTTTCAGGAGCTCAGAGACCTGCTGCAGACAGAGTGGAGCTAACATTATTCGCTAAAGGCAATGTGTTGACCTGCTAACGGCAAAAACAGTCACTCAACAAGTCAAGTTTAAACTGTTTATGCTCAATATTGAACCCATTCCGAACATTTTTATCCCCGTCAGTCATTTATACCCAAAAATACTTTTTAAAAAAAAAGGTCCAGACTCAAAATTACCTGAATTAGCAAGTAAAGCTATAAATGTGGAGCTGAAATCAAATCATTAAGTAGCAATAAATAGCTTAAAACTCTCAATCCTGTTTAAATTTACACACTGAAGGAGGTTATTTTCTTCCAACTTACAATGTCTAATCGCGGTACTGAAAGTTTGACCACTTTCATCCCGTTCAACATGGTCGCCGGCGACGAGCTGTCTCTGCCTGCAGGAACATGAGCGACGTGTCAATTTGTGAACAAAAGTGCAAAATAAAAGAATGCATCAAAACATTTATAGTTACATCCAGTTCATCTGATGATATCACACAGTCTGTCATTGTACTGCCAAAATAAATAAATACATAAATACAAATTTGAGAGATTTTTTACAGCAAATTATTTTGTTTTAAATGCAGGATGTGATGCTTCAGGATTGTCTGGATTACTGTCTCCTGTATTGAATATTTCACCTCAATAACACACAATTCTTTACAACCAAACACTAGAAAGTAGGTTTGTTTCGCAGGCACATACAGCTCCATAACGGGGGACTTGAATTGTTGATAAAACTGTGCAAGTATTCTCATTTTCACTATTTAGCTTTTAAGTGAAAGACTTCTGAAGCACCGTTGCTCGGAGGTCACACACCTGTACTTGCTGTGGCTTCAGATGACGGAGACGAGCTGGACTGCATCAAGTCTAAAGCCGTTGGTTTCACATCAGCTTCCTCCTCGACAGACTTACCGTCCTCAGTCATCAACACTGTCAGAGAAATTCAAAATTTTAGTGTTCGAGAGCAGCGTTGAGAAGCAGCAGAGGAGCTTCCAGATGCAAGCACATGGTAACAGCAACTACAGTGCCCATAAGAAGTATTTATAACCCTAACCCGAGCCACAACGAACGATCCTGTGAGCCTGAGCTCAGGGAACAGAAACCCTCAATTTCAGACACTCTTCAGTTTCAGATTCTCTCGCTGTAGAAGTGTGACAGCCGATGGGGAAGCCGCTCGACTCCTAACTGGTGATTTGTCTGTATTTTCAGCACTTGTATTCGAATTTGACTTTTCAACTACAAATACCTCTGTACGCACTGACAACTCTTATTACATGAATTTTAATACAGATGAGCAGATTTTTTTTACACATTTGAAAACCCGATTATGGACGGACAAACTGTGAGACGACTTTTGTAGATTCCGGTTTGCATTGACAACTTCTTTCCGCCATTGACAAATCTTACTTCGGACACACAGATTGAGATACAGACAGACAACTCTCCAGACAAATTGACAAATAGTTTTGCTACAATAATGCCCCCATATATTCACAACCCCCACTTTCAACATTAAAGCACTTTTATGTGGCGTTTTTTACAAGAAGGTGAAAAAAAAAAGACTCTTTTGTCTCAATGTGAACACAAATTTCTACAAACGAATATTATTTATTTAAAAATATAAC